CATTTTGATGTGGAGAATTGACTTGGTGTAGTATAACTTCACTTCTCTTTACTGAGTTGTACCTACGTATAGTTGGGATGAGAAGTATAGGGTGGGACGGTGGCAGGACACCAGCTGATCGTTTAGTGATACATGCTGGATTCCTCTTTGTTTGTAAACTTTAATATGCAAGCTTAAGGGTGCCAGTTGGGGGTAAATGAAAAGAGGGCGTTTTTGTATTCAGACACATATTTGCAGCTCACCTGGTCTCCCGTGACACAGCGTCTGTCGCCTGTCCATCGTCAATTTTTCATTTAAAATGCTACTAGTCCTGAATGGCTTTGTGAATTTTGACTAAATTTGGTATATTGTGGGATGATGGGAGGATACCAGTTGACCATATATCCTGTGACTGTACAAACCATATCTAACCTTATAAGGGTGCTGGCTTGAGTGGTTGCAGGTAAATGATCAGTGTCATGCATGGGGTGTCTTTCCTTTATACAGAGTTTTCTCTCGGACAGCATACTTTCTGTTTTGACATACTCAACCCTCACTAAAACCCATTCCTAGGTTGAATTCCATATAAATAAAGTGGTGTTTAGTTCTACAACATTGCATTGGTCACTGTCCTGTATCAACATGTACAAGTTTGTGGCAGCTTTGTTGTTGTTCAGTATGAACTGATAAGTGTCATTTTTGATAAAAGAGGAATTTAAATAAACATTTTTTCCCATCTTTTTGTGATATTGATCATTGCCAAAACACAAAAAATACAAAAACTAGGTTTGGAATATCAGTGAAGACGCACCGTGCATTGATGATATCTCAAAGCAGTGGAGGGTATCTTCTTCATCAGGAATTCTACACATTTTACTGGCAAAAACATAAACTGCATTTTACAATTTGGCACAAACCTATTTTCTCATCCATTATTAGCTGTTTATCTGTATTCCTGACTCCCATCCATTACTTGAGATGATGAATAGGTGTGATTTAACACAAATTAATAATTAGGGTGTGTGGTGAGAATTAGGTTGTTTATTTATCTACATCATGCCTTATATATATCACCCTGTCCATCTGTCAGTCAGATCAGTGTCCAGTCTCATTAATATTCTATGCCAATATTTTCATCTGTCTGTCCATATCTGTCAGTCTAATCAGTGTCCAGTCTGGGCTCCTGAACAGCTGAAGATTCCTAATGACCAGGCAGTATAGGTATCCTATACACTAGTGATTAGGAGGCTACTTACAGGACCTTCAGCTGAAGGTCAAAGTCACCATATTGATATACTGTGAAAACTAGAAAAGACCGGCTGTTATACCTATATAGGGGAACAGGAAATCTTATATAATATTAATTCATTTCTTGCATGTAAGCAGTGTGAGCTTCAGAAAAATTACCATATAGGTAATTTTGCCTCAAAGTTCTATGTATGCATTTCAAACAGTGATTTATAAAGCTGTAGTAACAGCACAGTTCTATAGTTACTGATACCTGTCATGGAAAATTTCAACTTTTATCACTAGCATGTGAACCAATATGCTAAGCATTATTATTCCTATAAATTGTCCTTCTCCCAGTTTACTAGATATTAACATACTAGAGTGTTTGATGCTGATGTTTCTTCAAAGTGTGTCCTTGTACTGGTTTCTGGATGCACAGACAGAATTAAATCTCACACTGTAGTACCAGGTACTGATCAGGAACTTGTGCTGTTATAAGAGGTTTTATACAAGATTTAAGTGGTCTTCTGATCCATCACTTAAACATTACCCTACGTAGGTGTGGGAAGTGACTGGTCACATGTCTGTCTATGTCTAAACTGTCTCTAGAATATTGAATTATTAAGAAAAAAAAATTAACTCAAATTTTTGTTATCACTTGGATGTCCGATTTCTAAACTAGGGGGAGATAAGCTAGTAGTAAAATGCAGCCGAGAAATTCTTTATAAAAACTTCGGGGCTGGTAGCCAGTCTAGTCCGTGTCCTGAGTACAGGTTAATGCTAGGGACAATGGTAAAGCTTGACAAACTAATACAAAAAGTCTGGTATATACTGAAAATTACTGGTATTCATATGAATAGATATGTATTCAAAATCATACTTTTAAATTACAATAGGAAACGCAACACACGGCAGATATTTTTAAATTTCAAAAGATGCCAGACTGTTTTGAGTGTAAGCATTGGTATGTTATGTTAACAAGACGATGGAGAAAGCCTGCCACAGTGAGTCGGGACAGGTCTGGAATGTTACTGTTTTGTTCACAATGTTTCCTTCTCATGGTGATCAGTTCGGTTTGCCAAGAAAACATGTTAATTATTGTTAGACGGGTCTGAAGTGACCCTGGCATTGTCCTCCTCGGAGTAAATTACATTGAAGGTACAGTAAGGTTTGTCAAGGGGAGAAATCGGATAGCAAAAGGTTTATAATGTCTGAAAAGTACTTACGATGACCCCTATATGACAAAATGGTTGTGTAACAACAGGAAATTTAACAAGGCTATCTACAGAACTTTACTCATTCACCCCTGAAGACACACTTGAACTCCTCCAATTCAAAGGTTGGAATAGTTCATTATGAAATTTCAGGGTTGAATGAGGTAACATCCAAAGTACATTGAACTAGAGGTCAATGGTAGTGATGGTCATCATCTAAAGTAGGGGGCAGTGAAACTGACCACCAGGAAATCATACTGTGAATAAGGGTGATGACAGTGTAAAAAGAGGTTGTTTCTGACCACTACTTATAGCTAGGCTACATCCACTATGGTCATAGCAAATTGACCAGCACTTCTTACGCTTCATATGATTTTGTCTCATGAAAAGAAAAAAAATGCTCCCCAGATGTTTAGTTGGGTGAGCTGGTTGGGTGAGCTGACAAAGCTAACATTTTTGTTGTGCGAAATACAAAGAACATTACAATACTTAACAAAAAGATTGAGAAAACATGTTGTTTAGATTTGATGAAGCACTACTCCATATTTATTTCTTAACTCAATGGACCAGGTTGAAATAATCCTATATAATACAACAGATAATCCTGTACTTGTTTATGTTGAAATCCCTGGGAGTAAGTTTGATATGCATAGAACAATTGGCCTGTCAGGGTTCAGATACAGCTGTAGGTATCCGCATTTCCTATTAAAAGTTGTACCTGAACCAGAAACAGCTATAAGTTGTAGATGAGGTATTTGAAAAATCTGATGGTTTTACTTTTAAAAGTTGGTTGTATTTAAATAGAATGACATCCAAATAATTTTCCTAATTGGGTTATTTCATAATAAAAAAAAAATCCAGGTCAGTGATAATCTGTACATAGATTTTAATAGGATATCAGAGATTTTTAGAGCACAGATAGCTATGGACTTTTACTTTTCTGGAATGGGACCTGCCTGTATTTTGAAATCCACTATATCTCTCAGCATTGTCACATGTCAACATTGTAAAAATGATGACCAGAAATCTTTTGAATAAATCCTGTGAAATCCGTAAAATTCACTGGATAGATTGATTTTATCTTAAGTTTTTCCAGGGTACCAGGATCTGGACCAGGACATGACTGCTTGTTAACTTTACTTTGATCTGGGTGTCTGAGCCTGTGGGCTTTCAGTCCGAGGCCCTGGGAGTGTTACCGTGTAGACAGGTTTATGTTTAGACAGTGAGTGTGAGGTGTGTGCACCTATAGCTATCTAAAACATCAGTAACCAATTAAGTGACCACAGGGTGACCCTATTTTAGTGGTCAGCATATGATGAACTGACCCATTTTTGACCCTCTATCACTAACAACAGCTACTAGTATATTTATTAATTTCTTTCAGTCACAGGCCCATGACAAATTACTTGCTATTATATATACAGTGGTAGTCCTGTTCTTATTTGGGAGACCTTTAGCTACTAAACCTCCAGAAATAATAGCTAGGTTAGTCTCGGTTGGTCAAGTTGGCCATTTTGGTAGAAAAATGAATCTAATGTGACACCTGATTATTTTGACATCCCAGCTATAGTATTTAACATATATCACTGATACCATTTCTTATAAACACTGCCAAATGGACCTAAAAACGAGCCGGTATCTTGAAGTAAACAGTAGTTGTGGTACAGCTATAGATATATAGCTAGGTAGCTATATAATCATGTTGTATGGTTGTTGTGACTACACACAAAGAGACCTATGGATTTGTAGGTTCATCGTACAATTGTGTAAAAAGATGGACACAAATGTTGCGAAGACCTTAATTCCCTATGTGGTTACTATGCTTACATTTCTGCTGTAATAAACAATCTGGAAAATAAGATAGAGACTTATCTGGAGATTTACCAGATGGTGCCCTCAGTGAGATGTAAGCTAACTTTTATTACCTACACATGAAGTGTTTTATGAAACAGACTATAGGCAGATACCTAAGTCTATTATCTGTCAATGAAGATGTATGTGTTGTCAGATTTCATCTCCTCCAGACATGCTCAGATGTCTCACAATAACAGGTTTCTGAGGCTGTTAAGGGAGAGGGCGAGGAGGGCATACACATACTGTTAGGGAGAGAAGGAGGGTATACATGTACTGTTAGGGAGAGGGCGAAGAAGGCACACATGTACTGTTAGGGAGAGGAGGAGGAAGGCACACATGTACTGTTAGCGAGAGGGCCAGGAGGGCACACATGTACTGTCAGCGAGAGGGCCAGGAGGGCACACATGTACTGTCAGGGAGGGGGCCAGGAGGGCACACATGTACTGTCAGGGAGAGGGCGAGGAAGGCACACATGTACTGTCAGGGAGAGGGCCAGGAGGGCACACATGTACTGTAAGGGAGAGGGCCAGGAGGGCACACATGTACTGTAAGGGAGAGGGCCAGGAGGGCACACGGGGGCTGTAAGGGAGAGGGCCAGGAGGGCACACATGTACTGTAAGGGAGAGGGCCAGGAGGGCACACATGTACTGTAAGGGAGGGGGCTAGGAGGGCACACATGTACTGTCAGGGAGAGGGCGAGGAAGGCACACATGTACTGTTAGGGAGGGGGCCAGGAGGGCACACATGTACTGTTAGGGAGGGGGCTAGGAGGGCACACATGTACTGTTAGGGAGGGGGCTAGGAGGGCACACATGTACTGTCAGGGAGAGGGCGAGGAAGGCACACATGTACTGTTAGGGAGAGGGCCAGGCGGGCACACATGTACTGTTAGGGAGAGGGCCAGGAGGTCAAACATGTACTGTTAGGGAGAGGGCCAGGAGGGCACTCATGTACTGTTAGGGAGAGGGCCAGGAGGGCACACATGCACTGTTAGGAAGAGGGCCAGGAGGGCACACATGTACTGTCAGGGGGAGGGCCAGGAGGGCACACATGTACTGTTAGGGAGGGGGCTAGGAGGGCATACATGTACTGTCAGGAAGAAGGCCAGGAGGGCACACATATACTGTTAGGGAGGGGGCTAGGAGGGCTGTTTGAAGGATGATGATGAGGGAAAGAGCACGTATGTACTGTAATGGGATGACGTGGAGGGTACAAATGTGTGTGGGGGACAGTTTTTTTTTACCTATATCAATAATAAAGAGCATNGGGCTAGGAGGGCACACATGTACTGTCAGGGAGAGGGCCAGGAGGGCACACATGTACTGTTAGGGAGGGGGCTAGGAGGGCACACATGTACTGTCAGGGAGAGGGCCAGGAGGGCACACATGTACTGTTAGGGAGGGGGCTAGGAGGGCACACATGTACTGTCAGGAAGAAGGCCAGGAGGGCACACATATACTGTTAGGGAGGGGGCTAGGAGGGCTGTTTGAAGGATGATGATGAGGGAAAGAGCACGTATGTACTGTAATGGGATGACGTGGAGGGTACAAATGTGTGTGGGGGACAGTTTTTTTTTACCTATATCAATAATAAAGAGCATTTGATACCTGTGTTAGTGCAATACTTTTACCTGGCAAATAAATCCCATCAGCCAAATACAAATGAACCTGTGTTAGTGCAAAACTTTTACCTGGCAAATAAATCCGATCAGCCAAATACAAATGTACCTGTGTTAGTGCAATAATTTTACCTGGCAAATAAGTCGCATCAGCCAAATACAAATGTACCTGTATTATAGTGCAATAATTTTACCTGGCAAATAGATCCCATCAGCCAAATACAAATGTACCTGGGTTATAGTGCAATACTTTTTCCTGGCAAATAAATCCGATCAGCCAAATACAAATGTACCTGTGTTATAGTGCAATACTTTTACCTGGCAATGTTGCGAGAAATCTTATTCCTGCAAACTAGTTCTGATCGGGACAGCTGCAAAATACTAGTCCTGTGAAATTAACCAACTATACAGCATGTGAAACAGATGGTTTCAGTGACTGACCTGAGGTAGGTGCCTGCTGTTACTGTGTTTTAATGTGACTGACCTGAAGCAGGTGCCTGCTGTTACTGTGTTTTAATGTGACTGACCTGAAGCAGGTGCCTGCTGTTACTGTGTTTTAATGTGACTCGTTTCTTTACAGGTCATGTTGACAATGAAGGAACACTCGCAGAAAACCTGGATAATCTCGGGCGGGGACGAGTCGACCAGGAGGTGGAAATAAGTAAGTGATTATTGGTCCAGCACTTCAATTGACTGGTGTATGTATACCTAGTTGTCTCCCTTTGTTTTAGCCAATGAAATCAAATCTGCATGATCATGACGATCATAAGTAGACCGACTAAGTGAGAGTTTAGTAGGATTGAGATGTATAATATAACATAGAAATTGAACTAGATTTAAGACAAGTGGAATATTACACATGGCATGGAGAAAAACAAGGTCTATTAAAAATGTCATATCTTTATTCATTCATCAATGTTTGGATTTACACATGCCTAGCTTGGCTGTATGGTCAAAATAATTCACCAGAACGTGGACCTGGTGTCCTGGTGTTCTGGTTTGGGAGTTAACCCCCTTTTCTGGGCTACCCATCAATGATGTGATCCTTGTTTTCAGGACGAACATATTTGAGTGGAAGGGTGATTGTTATAGGTTAGGGAAGTTGTGGTCTGGAGATAACTGTCTTTATATCACCCCGGGTCACAAGTTTATGATGTCTGGTTAGATTTACAAAAAACTTAAGATTTTGAATGTTTTTATAGTGGAATATAAATTCAAACCAAACACCTTTCAGAAATATGATTTTTTTTGGTTACATAGGTTAATTTACGTAGAAGTTTCGTGTTTGGAGTCGGGACAGGTGGGGGAGTTGTGATGTGTGAACAGAAAGGGAAAAAAATTGCATCCAAATCTGGCGACAGGACCAGATGATATTTCTGTTATATTATAATGCTAACTTGAATAATATTTTCTTCTACTGGACAGAATTATTAATTTGTTCGCAACTGTTTCGTAAATGTTGGTGTACTCTCACTTCATCTCAATCTGAACAGGTATCGACATGCAGTCTCCTTTATGCAGACTTAACCACAACTGTTCTGATTGGTCAATAATCAGATACAATTCTGATATTCTTTCAACAGATGAAAGATATCACTTTTATCAAGTGGATAGAATATATATCTCTGCTGAAAATGCAGTAAAACAGTTTTGCTATACTCATCGTACATTTAGCTGGAAGTATTGCAGTGATTGATAACGAGGAAATTTGTTTTACTGAGTACATTTTACCTGTTGACACCAGGAAAATCTTCTCTGTTCTATCTAACTGGACTAGATCACAAAAGTCATCTACCACATATCTCACAAGGACAAAATAATTCTTCCTCATGTATGAATGGATATGTATGATTAAAACGTCCTTTAGGTGAGAGATTTCCTTTGACAATCTTATATATGCACTCAAGAGCGGCAAATTATTTCCTGATTGTGTAAATGAAAAAAATAAATTGTTCATTTCTTTGTTCATAAAACTATCCTTTTGTTCAGTTCTTTGTTCATCAAACTAAAACATTTCTGTGAGGAAATTTCTATAAGGAAGTACTTCAATGAAGACAAAAGACCAATACCATTGACCTAACGTTACCTAGGCTATGACAGTAAAACCTAATCATACATTTGCACGAAAGTCCTATAAATAGTTGAAAGTAAAATGTTTGAATAGAAAAATATCTTTAATAAATGATATTCCTGTCAGCTGACAAGTGTGTGTAGTTGTTGTCAACAGTATCTTAGTCAGATTTGATGAAGTAAGAGCATGCTGAAAACCCTGATGGTAAGTCTTTTGGGTTTTGATGTGTTGTATTTTGTTTTACAGATGAGGCCTTTTTTAAATTCTCCACTGTGACAAAAGAATTAGCTGGTAGTATGAATGAACTCGTAAGTATACAAGGTCATTTGTAGGATCTGGAAAATTTGGTAGCGAATTAATTATTTTAATCAGGGTAACATCTTCACAACAACCACTTGTTTGTTTTCCTCTGTGATGATTGGTCAATGCTATATTGACTGTTGATTTCCTCTGCGATGATTGGTCAATGCTATATTGACTGTTGATTTCCTCTGTAATGATTGGTCAATGCTATATTGACTGTTGATTTCCTCTGCGATGATTGGTCAATGCTATTTTGACTGTTGATTTCCTCTGTAATGATTGGTCAATGCTATATTGACTGTTGATTTCCTCTGTAATGATTGGTCAATGCTATATTGACTGTTGATTTCCTCTGTAATGATTGGTCAATGCTATATTGACTGTTGATTTCCTCTGTAATGATTGGTCAATGCTATATTGACTGTTGATTTCCTCTGTAATGATTGGTCAATGCTATATTGACTGTTGATTTCCTCTGTAATGATTGGTCAATGCTATATTGACTGTTGATTTCCTCTGCGATGATTGGTCAATGCTATTTTGACTGTTGATTTCCTCTGTAATGATTGGTCAATGCTATATTGACTGTTGATTTCCTCTGTAATGATTGGTCAATGCTATATTGACTGTTGATTTCCTCTGTAATGATTGGTCAATGCTATATTGACTGTTGATTTCCTCTGTAATGATTGGTCAATGCTATATTGACTGTTGATTTCCTCTGTAATGATTGGTCAATGCTATATTGACTGTTGATTTCCTCTGTAATGATTGGTCAATGCTATATTGACTGTTGATTTCCTCTGTAATGATTGGTCAATGCTATATTGACTGTTGATTTCCTCTGTAATGATTGGTCAATGCTATATTGACTGTTGATTTCCTCTGTAATGATTGGTCAATGCTATATTGACTGTTGATTTCCTCTGTAATGATTGGTCAATGCTATATTGACTGTTGATTTCCTCTGTAACCATTGGTCAATGCTATATTGACTGTTGATTTCCTCTGTAATGATTGGTCAATGCTATATTGACTGTTGATTTCCTCTGTAACGATTGGTCAATGCTATATTGACTGTTGATTTCCTCTGTAACCATTGGTCAATGCTATATTGACTGTTGATTTCCTCAGTAATGATTGGTCAATGCTATATTGACTGTTGATTTCCTCTGTAACCATTGGTCAATGCTATATCGACTGTTGATTTCCTCTGTAATGATTGGTCAATGCTATATTGACTGTTGATTTCCACTGTAATGATTGGTCAATGCTATATTGATAGGTAATTTCCTCTTTACTGATTGGTCAATTGTCTGTTGACAGGTGACGAAGTTGAACAGCATGTTGCTGTATCCCCTGGATGCATTCCTCAAAGGGGATCTTAAAGGGGTCAAAGGGGACATGAAGAAACCCTTTGACAAGGCTTGGAAAGACTATGAAGCCAAATTGTAAGTTTTATTTAGGACGATATGTTTATCTTGTTATATCCCAAATTTTAATCTTTGGATTGATTGAGGGAATTGAAGTGAAATCTTTCAAAATAAAAATACAGTCTTACAGTAATAATAATAAAAAAAAATCGGCTCTTGTTATATTATTGTTTCATTACAGAAGTAACCAGTGTGGCTTTTTAGAAAAAAATGCTTGAAAATGATAGATTTGATCATTTTATTTTTCGGTATATTAGATTTAGATGACTTATACAAATGCATGAGATTATCTCCCTTGTTTTAGTGGCAAAATTGAGAAGGAGAAGAAACAACAGGCCAAAGAAGCTCACATGCACCGAGCGGAAGTGTGTGGGTCGGAGGTAAATATTGGTTTTACATCTTCAGTGGTATTGTTGAATGTTTAGGGTTGGTGGGAGGACTGGGGAGGGGGTTCCTACAGCATACATGACCTCTCACATATTACTACTGAAGAGAAAAAGGTTAAATCATACATTGTATAAAAAACAATGGTTGCTATTTTGGCTGATATACCCTAAAATAATATGCCTGAATTAAAAATAAGTCTTGGATACCTTGCAGTCAAGCATATCTAAAAAAATAAACCATGTATGAAAATTGGCTGGTCTTGAAAAGATGCATGGGCCGGATTCCAGGTAGGAGTCACATTTTACCTGTCGCCCTAAATTCCAGGTAGGAGTCACATTTTACTTATCAGCCTAAACAGATTTTCATCAAAACTTCATAACATTGATTATATTTTCCATGCGAAAAAAGGAATCAAAAATAAGTCATTAATGGCTTATAGTGTAAAGGACTACGATAATAGGACTGTCATGAATATAAAACAGCTCTGAAAACAACCTCAGCTTCCTTATTTGAAATGAAAATAAATAGTAGCTTAATATCAAGATTGTAGGGTATAATAAAACACAACTGTTTATTTTCGTACAGTTTATTTTCTCTACATTCATTATTCAAACGAACCTGTGAGTATAACCTATTTCCTGTACCAGAATGCAGAGTGTCTTTTATCTTTTATTTCTGTAGCTTGGTTTTGTGTTTGCCAGACTAGATCATTGCAAAACAAGTTTATTTTTCAGAAAAGATTACACCTTGTCAAAAACTATCAATTCATTATTCCTTCAAAAAACAGTGTGACAGGCTTTCATGATATAAATATTCAATTTTTGTAAATAATTGGTTGTCAATATATAATAATGCGTACAGCTTTATAGGAACTGCTGAGTAACCATAAATCTGGTGTTGGTAAATCACCAACACTTTTAACGACCTTTACCAAGACACAATGTAACAAGCCACAAACACATTACATCATCTACAAGTATTAATTATAATGTCGTTAATTTCCTGTAATTTTATAGCTGTTCCTTTGATGACCTTAACGAGACATTACAAAGGCACACCTGCTCCAGGTGTGGTCACCGGGGCAGATCGATATTACTGAGTCAGCCCATTGTTTAACTGCAAATCAATACCTGAACCTCATTACATTTAAAGCACCCCAACACGTGTTAAAATAAAAAGGAATATCTCCTCATGATTTCTATTGTTTCGATAATCTAATACTTGGTACAGCCGTTTTGAAAAAAGGAAATGACTGAAATAGCAAAAAAAAAATAGAATATTTTTTTTCTTTGTTTGTCATAATTTAAAAATGCAAATTGTTGTGAAGTTCTAAGAAATTGCAATATGGGAAAATTTAAATGACATCTGTAAATGATACTTCCATCGTCGGGTGATTAAGTATTGTATCCTCAGTGACGTCATGTCATAGAATAGCCTATGACCTATTGATGTCAGTCTCTTGTATTGTAAACCTTTTCTGTTCTCGGTGACATCATGTAGAAAGCAAATTTATGTCAATTTTATTGAGATGTTGTGTTTGATGGAATTGTACTTGGTAAGCAAACTACAGATAAACAAGCCAAGCCTACTATTGTGACTGTTTTTTATGCATTGCCTTGATGGCGTCCACTACTGCATCAATAGATCAATGTACTGCTGTACTCCAGATAAAAACACATGTTCCTGAGAGGGATATCAAGCTATGTGGTAATTGATTTAGGCTAGAGTTTGGACGGCTTTAGATAGAACCATTACTTTGAAAAAAATCTAGACATTATGGTTTCGCAATTGGCATCGGCTACACAGCTTGTCTTCTTTCTCAATGAATTGTGTCTTTCAACTTTCTTTTTATTTAAAATGATGCTACTAGATCTATAATGTATTGAGTTTCTACATAAAAATGTTCCTTCCTGGCTCCTTAATTTTATGTTTGTTTTTCGTGTGACACTATTTTCGTGATAGAGAGTGATATAACCGTTGTAAGCTAACCTGTTGGCCCTGTGGTAAGTAACAATGCAGCAATAGCCTCTACTAATCAATATATATCGTTACGTCCACGCTGTGCTGCTGTGCCTTCTTTGTAATGGACCGTCATATTCCTTGTCTCATTTACTTTGGTTCAAAAAAAAATTAATCATCTCTAGGTTAACTTTAGTTCTAAACCGTTTGACTGTCTCAAGTTTCACTTTGACTGTTTTTCTAGCATTGTGACCAGGCTGAGATGGTTTTATCGTTGGTGTACACTTAAGTATGGGTTTGAGTGATGTAGCAAGTGTTTGAATCCCAAAGACCAGGTTTGGTTACCTCAGGCTATACCAAAGTGAAATAGGCCTGGCAGAAGGAAACCAGAAACTTGCTTTGTCCACGCATTCTATCCTTTAACTTTTTCAACCCTATGTAACTTAAGTAGACTCTACCATGCCTTGATATGGAGGAGTCCATTATGGTCTACAGTGTTGAAAGGGTTAACTGTTTTATTGTACCTATACCAAATGTGGGGAAGTTGTAAAAGTCTGATAGAGAGCCATACGTTTTCTGCTGTTTCCATACTGTGTGCACTGTTGTCTCACCATCAGTTATGATTGGTTGGAGTGAGGAAGTTACATAAATTGCTGAGGGAGTTAGTTTGCGGGGATGTTTTAGTTTTCAGACTAAAGCATGGCTGAAAGAAGACTAGCTCCCTGCATTGTGAATTCAGGGCAAAAGCGGGGATAAAGTCAAATTAAATTAACAAAGTAGAGGTATTATATTACAATTATGACAAAACTTCTTTATGGTTTACAGATTGCTGAGGAAATGGAGAAAGAGAGGAAGGTTTTCCAGCTACAGCTGTGTGAGGTAAAGCTATCAAAACATAAAACATCTGCTCCTGAATTTAAGCTTGACCTTTTCCTTTTCACCTTCATAACACAACAGATTTGTTTTAATTGATTCATAGGATGAACAAATCAATGTACCGGTTATCTTTTAACAATGAACAGTTTTCACCAAAAAATGACAAAGTCATGTAAAGTGCAATAAGAAAACTGAAGAACATTGAAAGAGCCATTTTTCCATTTTTGACATCTTCAGTAATAAATGAATATTTTTTACAGTATTTCCTGAAGGTGAATGAGATAAAGACGAAGAAGGGTGTTGACCTACTGCTCCATCTAGTGGATTATTACCGCGCACTAACCACGTACGTATACCAGATTTAACACTGCCTGTTATGTTTAATGCACCCATTCCCAGTCATGCTAATAGACCTGTTTTCTCAATTAATCAAACTTGACATCCAATCACTCTATGCTTATCTATCTTTGTATGTTCAATTTTTCTTGGTTATTTGTCTAGGTTTTGCTAACTTTGTCATTTTTCCCCCTATTTGGACCGAATGTAATACATCGTATTCCAAAATACTAGGATATGGGGGATATTAGTGACCGTTAGTCTATAATTATCCTAATACAAACATGTGTATTTTCTGTCTTAATACAAACATGTGTATTTTCTGTCCTATTTTCTTTCCTAATACAAATGTGTATTTTCTGTCTTAATACAAACATGTGTATTTTCTGTCTTAATACAAACATGT